TAGTGATTTTCGTCCAACTTTTTAAACGAGCCGAGCGCTCACAATTTGCCTTTTCTCTCTATACCCAAAGTCTGTCTTCTCGAAAATAATAGTCGGTTTCCTTCGAATCACCTTTATCCAATTTCCTAATTTCAATTCCTGTTTACGATCCTCATTACGCATGGGATTTCAGTTAGTCATTGAGTAATTAATCTAAGTTTCTCTTTTGATATCAAGAAATGGTCGCTTATGACCCCGATCCTATTTAGTATTCATGATACTTCCTAAAATTGTTTCAAAATAAGATTTTGGAATTGGTGATAAAATATTGGAACTGTACGAAACTATTATCTTATAATAATGACATGCGAAATATATTTTTTATATTAATTATTACATTCACTTTAGTCTACGAATAATTGTGGTTAATACAGAAAAACGAGCAAGTCAACCATAAACTGTATTTACAATTTTACAAGTATTAAATAATATATCATTCATTATTAGTTTTAAAACAATGTGTTTATTGTAACATTAGTTGTTTAAATGAGGTTCTGAACTTTAAAAACCTCAGAAGTTAAATGAGTAATGAAAACTCGAATTTTCAATTTCAATCATGCACAAGAAGTTTACCAAGGTTTACCAAAGAAGTGATATGGAGTGAATAGGAAGTACAGACGAGGCAATCAAAAAACTGCAGGAACGAGGTTGAAGTGCTGCGAATCCTATGTTGGTCATTAAGGTTGAGCCATACTTGGACGGTAATAGTAAACACTGAACTGGAGGGAACGGGTGAGCGTTATTCAATTATGGGACAGTGGAAGTGTGTTTAATAAAGGAATTTAAAGGGATGGAGTTCGGTGTGTATGAAGGGAGATATTTCAGGAGCTTTATTTGAATTCACAGAAAGGGTTACAGGAGGCGCTACAGATGATAAGGTACACTTACTGTGCGTAATATTTGCTCGAACCGAAATTATTTCGCACGCCAAATACTGGCGAAACGAAGAAATAATTTACAAACAATTGCATAAAAACAGGCGAATCCTACACTAGAATGATCAATTACTGCTGTGTTCATTGGGGCGAATAGAAAGCGAATTAATAGTGTGCACGCGTATAATTTTATAACGATGGCAGAGAAACGGATATTGTTTATGCAAGGGGTACAGACACATTATAAAAATACTGCTAAGGAAGATTTATCCTGACATCCAAAGAGACACAACTTCAGTCGAAATAAGGTCTCTCATTTCTCTGATTTTACTTTGCGTGACGTTTTGCGAATACAGGGAGAAGCTTGTAAATGGGACGAGGCGCTGACGCCTGGCTTACTTCTAGCGCTACGTCGAGGGCGACGGCAGTACCCAGAACTACGAGGAAGAGGGAGGCGCTAATTCTGCCAGGTGGCGCTAAAAGCACGGTGCGTCGGTGCCGGTGGCGGTGGCGGTGGCGGCACCGGCGGCAGCGGCGGAGCGGGGCGAGCAACCGTGCGCGTGGACACGGAAACTGCTTTAGAAGGCCCGCGCCGTCACTTTGGACTTCGTTCACTGCCGGCGCGTAAGCGTTCTCGGAGAATCTGCTCACCTTCTGTGGCTCTCCACAGAACGCTCGCCACATGATAGCGGTTCGCTGTTGAACTTCACCTCCATCCTCGAGCGAACGAAACTTCAATATGAAAATATTATTTGATGGCGAAGAATTCGGTATTGCAGGAGATCAGCATTTACTACATTTAAAAAAATCTTTGCACGCATTAATTACTATAATATTTAACAAATTTACTAACTCGAACAACACATCGTGAACTTAAATCAACTTCCATCAACATACATATATTTAATATATTCCAAACTGGTCTCAATTTATACGAGTCGTTGAAATTCGAGCTACGAGATCTCACCACACCAGTTCGCATTCATCACGAATTTTAGCAATTAGTAACAATTTGACTGTTTAAATCGCACAAAGGCCTCTGACGCTGGTTATTTGAAATTGACGGCTAGGCAGCATATTATAACTTTAATTATACGCATTATTACAGATTAATTTAGAACACAACATACATATTTCGCGAAAATAGCATACGTTAACAGGAAATCTCTTTCAAATTCGCTTTTTGTCCTTTTGTCCTGCTCAGTGGAGGCCGATAAGCCGAGCGCCGCCCGGGGCGCGACCTGGCGAAGGGGCCGCGAAGGGCCTTCCGCAGACGCCGCGCCCTCGGGGCGGGGCGATCTTAAAGGAACGGCTCCAAGGCGCCAGCTACTTTAAGGGCGGCTGCGCAATTCTCTCGGAGCGGAATCGAGAACGAGAAGACCTCCGCCGAAAGCGAAACGAAGAGCTTGTTTTTACGCAGCTGTAATACGCTACTACGTATTACTTTAGATTTTGTTTTTGGGATAATAAAAAAATGTTGCGAAGGAACACACAACTAGTAATAATGAAACCGCATTCGTTACTTTACCTGTATGTAAATCACATTCGCTGATTATGATAAATAATACTTCTCGTTGCCGATTCTCGATCGATCAAAAAAGCAGCCACAGTTCGAATCATGTCATAGATTGTAATTGCACATTGTTACAGGAAACTTGCACAAAAATATTTACGATATTTTTTTATCAATTAATGCAAAAGTTGCAAAGGAATATTATACGAATATTAATATGGATGTAGCGAAAAAAATATCCAAATTATTGATAACAATCCTACAACGAAGAACAGACGATGACAAACATCAGGCAGGAACCAATTCACACGATGACTATTTTAAAAGACGCTTTGAATGTAAATTCCAATGAGATTGTAAACATCAATGGCAGTAAATAACAGTAACTTTATTCGTGGTTGACTGACTTGCATATAGTTATTCTACAGTGTAGGATTGTGATCAGGGCTGTCTTTGATTAGTTCTCCGGCCGTCCTCCCAACACGCGATCGCAATCTGTGCTCATGATTCGTAGACACGTACGAGGACACTACAGCCGAGCAGAGGTTTCCAAAACCCTTGAGACGCCATACAACATTCAAGGAAGCTTATCTCTTTGCCGCATCACCTCATTAATTCTTGAACTGAAGTAATTATTTTGGACATGGCACTATCAACATGGAGCTGAAGTTACTCTTTGATCAATTATTTAAATAGTGTGTTGGTGATACATCACAGAAAAAAAAAGCTTTAAAAAGTGATGTGAAAAAGAAGAAATTTCAAAAAGAAATTTAAAAAAAATAGAACGGATATTTACACTCAAAATAATACAGTTTAAAAATAAGTTATAAATAGAAATTTATTAGTCACAGTAAATATAGTTAACAAGTGTAATATAATTAAACTAGTCACATTTCGTTGTTTTTTCCCCTCTTTAAAAGATAAAAGTGACGATCGAAAATTAAATTACGAAGTGGAATAAGAAAAGTTATGGCCAGGTGTTTCCAAACTAAAGAAACATTGATCTAAAAGTTACAGCTCAGCTATCTAGCAAAGGCCACGGCGCCTCGCGGACCGTTTGGAAACCACTGCGCTCGAAGACACGGACGGCCACACGCCGAACGGAGCGGCGGAGTTGTACCTTCGGCGCTGGGGGCGTCCGCCGGCGGTGCAGGCGAAGCCTCCGGCTCGACATCGCTGTCGTCGCTCTCGTCGCCTTCTAGCGCATCTGCGGGGCAGAGGCGCGGGCGTCGCAACAACACTCGAAAGCCAACGCACGGGCCGCACGCGGCTCGCTCCGTGCCCCCGCCGCACACGCAACATAGATGCTGCTCTCGCACTAGTGTTTCCACCTAGCTAAGCGCTCGTTGGGGACGCAATGGGATTGCGCTGAACACAGCGCTTGTGATTATTAAAATAGAAAATCTTAATCTCTAAAACAATCTACTTACTTCTACTCTAACAGAAACTTTACTGTCAATATCGGTAATTACCAAAATCCATTTTCTGATGATAAATTATTAGTTACTTTGTCATTATGAACAGCGAAAGAAATCATCTCAAATGCTTGGCAATTGTAAAGAATCTGACGTTATTTTAGCATAACGTTTCTAAGCACGTTCTTAGGTGGACATTTTACCTGCCTATCGGATGACGAGTTTCAAAACAAAACTATGTTTTTCATTACTTCATGGAGAAATGAAGTTTTTGAGTAACTGCGAAAGTTTTATGATTTTTTTAAAATCTAGTATTATGAGATTTTTCTTTCAGCAATTCGCAATACTATTGCAATTTTGAATTACACGTTAATGCACAAATACAAACACGGTAAATTCGCCCATTGGTGGGTGACAGAAGCACCATTACGTAACCACACGCACCCACATTTTCCAAGACGTCACACACTCAAAAAACGCACAGCGCTCGAGGGGTGTAGCGCCCCGAGGAGGAGACAGGGGAACAGGAAATGACAACACACTCCTCGCGAGAGTGGCGGGGAGCACCGTCACAACGCCTGAGAGACGGAGCGGCAAACCCAATATTGGACACGTGCCACTCCCATCGGCAGAACACGTGGCGACAACAACGAAGACGTCAACAACGACAAAACCAACAGAGAGACAGAAGGTGCGAACGAGAGTTGTTTTTATTCCAGCACGTTCGTGTTTATAGCGACAACAGTCGCGCGTCACTACGAAAAAAGGCAAGTTAAAACAAAAAGACAAAACAAAATAAAATAACAAACTAACGGACTCGATACACACTAGACAAACCATACAAATACACACAATCACTAAGTAGTTAATGAAGTTTCAAACTCTAAAAATGTCAACAAACACTTGCAACAACAGCTACAAGAGCAAGGCGCCAAGACTACGAAAAAGAAAGGGACGTGCACAGACAAGTGAGTTTATTTATGCAATTCATGATAACTCTTAGGACAGTATCTGAATAACACGTTTAGTAGAAAATATTTATTAAACCACAACAAAGAAAAATGTTAACTTTAAATTTTTTGGTCGAAAACTATATTGTGGCAGACATACACGTACTGACCATAAGAGTTTCATGCGGAGTAGAAAAGGGCACATTTCCTAGGAAAATAAGGGCATGCCAATGCAAACAATCCAAACAGCTACGTAACAGGCTGCCGCAGCGGCGGGGTAACAGAGCAAGGCATGCTGCCGCTGCGACACCAACGGCAGCGGCAGCGGAGGGGGGCAGTTACCTGAGCTGGCGAGCTCGGAGTCAGGTCCGACGCAGGCGAACCAGTGAAGAGTGCCGCCGGGGCCCGCGACGGGGCCGTCGCCCGCCCCTGGACACAACACAGCAGCCCGCTGCACGCCGGGGACGAGCGGGCGGACTACCCGCCGCCCGCCCAGGGGCGCAACGGGCGGGGCACGTCCCGCCCGACGCTGGCGATGCGCCCGCGGGCACGCCGCACGGACCACCAATCTCACCCCCACCCCCAGGCCTCCATTACTTTCCTCCAGGTACTTTTACTTGGCCAATGACATTCTTTCGTTCCGGCAAATCTAACATTTTCCTCGTCAAGACCAAATTGATGGTTCTTTATTAACTTATCTATTTTATTCTGGACTTAGTGACGTGTCTATAAAACTGCGCATTTTCCGTCCACCTTTCTCGATACGTCTGGTGTGGTGGTGAGCATTCGTGACACTAAAAACCACTAAATGAACTAAAATTTCCAAATAAGTCCGTAATTCGAAGGTTTTGTGATGTATTATTTTACCTGAACAATGCTGCACTTAAACAAAAAAATGTGTGTGTGTGTGTGTGTGTGAGAGTGTGTGTGTGTGTGTGTGAGAGTGTGTGAGTGTGTGTGTGAGTGTGAGTGTGTGTGAGTGTGTGTGTGTGTGAGTGTGTGTGTGTGTGAGTGTGTGTGTGTGTGAGTGTGTGTG